TCCCACAATGCCATGTGGCATCAGTTTCTAAAGCTTAAAAAATAAAAATAAAAAATCAACAAGTTAAAAACCAATAATTTATATTAATTAAACATATCTGTAACAGCCCATTATAAAATAACTCATTTCTGTCTCAAACAAGTAAAACAAAAATTGCATACAAAACAAACATGTTTTCGCGTAACACTTGACTATATAAACCAGGCGACCGAATACTTCCTCAATTACATATTTTAAATAATTTAAATTGCAGAAAACCTACAACACCGAAAATTATTATCATCCTATAATCTCTTTATATGTACGTGATGATGATCTTTATCACTCCAACAATATAATAACCGACAATCCTGTCAAGGTGCTAAATATTGTATTCTATAGTTAACAAACGATTAACAAAATCTTTAATCATTAAAATCAAGAAACAAATCTGGATACTTTTCAAAACAGCTTTAATAAACTACAAATAAAAATAAGAGAAAAAAAATGATATGAGAAATACTACTTAACAAATTCATAGAAGACAACATAATATCATTCCCCAATTTACGATTCTCAATAACAAATAAATCAATTAACACTAATCAATAATATGCAATTAGCACAAATTATTGAATTACAAAATAAAGTGCTTCCCCTTTACCAAAAACTACAAACACCATATATCAATAAACGAGTTCGTAAGAAAGAATAAAACGACCACAAACCACCCGAAGAAAAAAAAAACCAGAAAATGCTGACTACAAGACACAACAAAGACAAAATGCTCCAAAATCATGCCACATCAGCACCTTCTCATTGTAAATCACTTCTAATCAGCTCTTCCTAAAACACGTCTAAGCCCAACAAAATCTATTTATGCTTCTTAACAATTAAAGCCCTTCAAATATATCTAATGTAACCTTTGATTTCTCACGCCAACATGTATAATTCTCGCAATCAATTCCAGAAAACACCTCTTCGGCTCCTCCTAAAAATGTTATGCCACAAAACCCTATTTAAAACAGAGACTCATCCCTAAACTAAGCCCATCGTCTTCCACAAAGCCATAATCTTTTTCTTAAGCTCCTTTCCACCTCCTCAGTTTTCCACTCTCATTTTTAAATTCCATCAGATAATTTATTAACATAATTTCATTATTTTCTGCTGGAAGAAAAGTCAGGCTGCTGAAAGGTAAGATACATTGTTTCATATTATGAGTTTCTGAAATTGGTATGACATATATATATTGAATTCATCATGTTGTTTTGTGCATCCGGTTTATTGGGTTTATGTTGTTATGCAGAGGCATCGTTTGAGTAAAACTGATCTCAATGAGGCATTAGGGGATCAAGTAAGAATCAAAACATTTTTAATATTGTATCATTAATTTTTTCACAAAACTGAGATCTCTCTTTTAAAATTCCTTCATTCACTCAATAAATTTGCGCCGACTGTGTTTCTAATATCTTTGTGATTTTTTTCTTAACTATCTTAATATTCAATGGCGTTTTATCTTCTTTTAGTATACATTTATTTTAAGATAAGAAACAGTGTAGAAGAGATAGTGTAATCTGGATTACTTTCTAAACATGTCTTTTTGTGGGTGAGCTAAAAAACTTGACGAAAGCTCATGTTTTCGTAAATGGTCGGTCTTAAATAATTGACAATGTTGGATATGGCGTCCCCTGTTATGAACTTCTTCCTTTTACTACATCTTGTATAGATAAATTCTGCTATTTAATCACCTGTTTTAGTTATGCTCTTTCATAATCTGCTCATCAAATCATTGTAACAAAGCTAAACATTTTTTCCAGTTTCCCTTTCCAAAACTGTCAGAGAAAATTGCCATGATACGACCATGATCACAAGTGTAAGCTTACATACCGTTCTATGTGAGATGTATCCAAGCTTTGGAGGCTGGATGTTTTATTCATCTACACAAATTATAAGTCACCGAATATCCAAGGAAAGACATTTTTTGCCAGTCGAAGATTCGATGAAGTTATATGTGTTTGCCCTGCTAAGCTTGCTTGGATTGTTTGCCTTTTTGTGTAAATGAGTAATATTAGAACTTTAAAGGGATTTTTAAAATTCATAACCTTTCCACGATAAAAATAAGCAATTGAAAAAGACAAAAGAAGGATTCATAAAGATTATGTCTATTTTATCAAGTTTTTGCATTTAAATTTGTGTTCAAATTTCTAATTACAAAATAAAATAAGAACAAAATGCAAACAAATAAACAAATTCTCACTCATTCGCTTCTACTTTCTATTACAACACAAAAGAAAAACAACTACTTATAACTTCCACACACACAGCAAACAAAAAATACATAAAACATAATTATAATTCCCCTACTGTTTAAAATATAAAAGAAACAACTAACAAAGACCATACAAAAAAATAGATAATTACATAATATTTCATATAAAATAACATCATTCTCAAATGCATCATAAGCAATTTATAAAAATTATCTTATACATTACATTCAAACAATTATTATATAAGTAGGATATTATATTTAAAATATTAAAAATAATTATTAGTAGCATGGATCAAACCCTATACTTATATAGAAGAATTGTATTATATCGAAGAATTGTATTATACAAAATAATATTATACAAATTTTTATATCAAAACTGTAAACCAAGATAGATACTTTCAAAGACACTAAATATAAATAGATACAAAATTCTAACCTTATATTTTAAACCAAGATAATAACTTTAATATAAACACACCATTTTCTAAACTAGATCATTTTCCAAATAAGGTTTTGAATAAAATGTCTAACCCAAAATTAAACATAATTAATGTAGGATAAGTAACTCATAAAAATGCACAACTAGTTGAAATATATATTTCTTAGCAAATTAGATAATTACACTTACAAATAATCAAAATACAAAATATTTTTAGTTTGAATTTACATTTCTTTAATTTATTCCCATGATTTTAAATCTTATCTAATTTATATTAAAAAAAAATTATAATTTACAATCCGCGCGTAGCGCGAAACAATTCCTAGTGATATAAGTGGATTTAGTTATTTTGCTCTCAACGCAGCTATATGATCATATCAAAGTTCGAATGTTTAGTCAAATCAAACCATTAATTAGCAATATATAGTAATAAGTTAGCATACATCCAAATTTAAAAGTTATTAGCAAAATAATGAAGCTTTATTTTTCGTGGAATCATATTTTGCGCTAAAAACGTTACAAACATATATAAGCTTTTAACATCAGCACATTATTTGAAAATTCTCCAATTAGAAAGCAAAAAAGAAAATTCGAAAACGAGCTTGCTTAGAAAATATGCCTTTATCATCAGCATATTAAACTTAGCTTGATCCGAAATGATTATAAATAAATAATATAAATAACTATAGCAGTGAAGATGTGTAAATTTTGTATTATTATTATTTTAGGGTTTTGTGTAAAAAACTCTCCATCTCCAGCAACTGATTCCATTCCCGTCGGCGTATTCACTCTTCGGGCAAGTAATAGCTTATTCTTCTTCAGTTCTTCTTCTTGCTTGGCCCTTTGTTTTTCGTTGTATCATCATTTCATATTCATAAGACCCAACCCTAGCCTGAATTGAAATTGAACTGAAGGAGAATTTTGGCTAGTACTGGTTGCAAGTTATGTGTCCCTTTGCTTCCAAATTGCGTCTCTGAAACTTTCGTTTTCTATTTTTTTTCTTTGTTTGCAGATTTCATTGTTCTGTAAAAATTTATACAGAAAAAACACATGGTTGATAGTTGTAAAACAAAACGGGTTCGTTCTAATAGGTTAAGATTGAAGAAAGATAGGATAAGCCAGTTACCTGATCCTCTGATATGTCACATCCTTTCTCATCTTCCAACAAAGGATGCTGTAAGAACAAGCGTGTTATCCACAAGATGAAAAACTCTCTGGCTTTGGGTTCCAAGTTTGGATTTGATTACAAAACAATTCCCGGATTCCAATTCCATTGTGAGTTTTGGTGACATGTTTTTCGATTCCAGTAGGGTTTCTTGCATACAGAAACTCAAGTTAGCTATATCTAGAAATCATGCCTCTTATCTCACTTTGTGGATTGATGCTGCAACTAAGCGCAAGGTTCAACATCTAGATGTTTGGTCCTGTCTAAATGATTTCACTGAGATCCCCACAAGCTTTTATATTAGCGAGACGCTGGTTTCCTTAACACTTCAGTGGGTGGTCTTGCCTGCTGCAGAGTTTGTTTCTTTGCCTTTTCTCAAGACTATGCAGCTAAGAGCTTTTTTGTATCCCAACGAGGCCACCGCCACTATTGTGAGACTTGTCTCATCCTGCCCTGTCCTGGAAGAGTTAGAGATTGCGAAATGTCTGAATGATAATGCGATAGTATTTCGGGTGCTCTCTAGGTCATTGAAGAAGCTCACTATAAATTTTCACTATCTTATGAAAGGTTTAGGTTTAGGGGTTGTGATTGATGCTCCTCAGCTACGCTTTTTGAGCATAAGTGATAGTCTATCAGAAAGGTTTGAAATAAACAATATAGATGACAGTGCTAGGTTAGATCTTTCTCTCACCTTTGGTTTGCGGAATATTGAGGAGAAGTAGTATCCGCGGTTTAATCCTCGTTGTTTCCAAGGCCATGGATATGACAATATGCCCAAAGACTTTCCAGGTATACATACATCAACTTCGGTATAGGACTTTTGCATTTCCTTTCACGAAAGTTTCTGACTCATATTGTTATTTTTGTTCTGTTTTGGTTCTAGCTTATATGTCAATACTCGAAACTGGAACCGTTGCCTCGGTTTGGTAATATGTCCCGCCTGGATATCAGACTCGGTGGATCCAATTTGAAATCGTTACCAACCTTTCTTGAGAGCTTTCCAAATTTGAAATCCCTCGTCTTAGTGATGATCTGCTAAACCCTTTTGATTCCATGTGATCTCTTTTCATTGCGCTTTAATCCTCTCTTGTTTTTTTTTTCTTTCTTTTTTCACTCAGGTATGCTATGGTGATTACGACGAGATGAATGAAACAAGTTTTTCATCTGTGCCTGAGTGTTTGCCATTATCTCTCGAGTTTGTTGATTTGAAGATCCCAATTTCAGGACATGTCGGAGAAATGAAGCTCGTGAGGTATTTCTTAGAGAATTCGGCACTTCTCAAGAAACTCACTCTACCTTTGGCGGAACATTCAGTGAGAGAAAAGTCTACTCTCAAGGAACTCCTCAGAATCCCAAGAGGCTCTACCAAATGTGAAGTCGTCGTCCTCTGACTGGTAACGAGACAGTAGAAGGTTTTGTGATTTGGTGTAAAGACAGTGAATGATTTTAGTATCTTCAGCATTTGCATTAGTCTATTCTATTAGTCTTTGCCATATAGTCTTAAAAGAATAGAGAACCAAAGTTGATGTTTTCATTCTTGCCTCTGTCTTTGATATCATCAGTTAAGTTTGTTGAGTTGAAAATCCGATATTAGAATATGAAGGAGATACAAATCTGGTGAGATACTTTTAAAAGACTTCAAGAGTCCTGGAGAAATAAAGTCTAAGGTTTGAGAACTATTATAGAAACAAAAAGCAAAGTATATCATACTCCAAGTAATACCTATAGATGCCCTAGTGCATGTGAAGTTGTTAGAACAACTAAATTGAGTTGTTCGTCAATTACGGCCCATATACAAATCAACGTTAGCCCAAATTGAGTTGCCCATATAGAAATCAACTCTCTATTATATTACGCAGTCGACAAATCTTCCTCAGCCAGAGATGCACTCATAATTCCGTCGATTGATTTCCATTTCCCATCGGCGACATCACTCTCTACAGATCCGGCAAGTGATTACGTTATAGTGCGTTCTTCTTCTTTTTCTTCTTTACTGGAAAACCTAAACCTAATAAACCGTCGCTTGTGTTTTAATCTGGTTCATTTATAATTTTGAACTGAAGGAGAATTTTGACTAGGTTGTGTGCGCATATTCGTATTTCACTGAAAATGAAATGGTTGTTTCTGTAGCTTTCAATTTACATTTCTCTTTAACTCGATGATGCAGATTAGTTGTGTGAAGAAAAACAAATGATGGGTCGAAAGAAAAAAACCGAAATTTGTGACAAAGACTGGATAAGCAAGTTACCTGATCCTTTGGTGCGTAAGATACTTACTCACCTCCCCACAAAGTATGCTGTAAGAACAAGCGTGTTATCCACCAGATGGAGAAGTCTCTGGCTTTGGGTTCCTAGTTTGAAATTGTTTTCTAGAGAATTCCGAGAGTTCAATGACTTTGTGAGTTTTGGTAACACGTTTATCGATTCCAAGAGGGATTCATGTATACAGAACCTCGAGTTAGAGATTGATGTAATGGATGTCTCTTATCTCAAGTCATGGATTGATGCTTGGTTTAAGCGGAAGATCCGAGATCTACATGTCCGGTGTGATCTAGATGAGTATTTTTGTAAAATCCCCATGAACCTTTATATCTGTGAGACACTGGTATCCTTAAAGCTTCAGTGGGTGACCTTGCCTGATGCAGAGTTTGTTTCTTTACCTTGGCTCAAGACTTTTCACTTAATAGGTGTTGTGTACCCCAATGAGGCCACCTTTGAGAGTCTTGTCTCATCCTGCGCTATCCTCGAGGAGTTAGAGATTAAAGGATGTATGAATGATAATGCAATAGTCTTTCGCGTGCTCTCTAGGTCATTGAAGAAGCTCAGTATAAGTTTACACTCTCGTGTGGATAGTTTAGGTGCAGGAGTTGTGATTGATGCTCCTCAACTACGCTGTTTGAACATAAGTGATAGCGTATCAGAAAGTTTTGTAGTAACCAGTGTAGGTTCCAATGCCAGGTTAGATCTATGTCTCACCTTTGATTCGGTGGTTTTTGATGAAGCAAGCGTGTTATCGAGGAGAAGTAGTATCCGCGGTTTTCTTTCCGGGGTTTCCAAGGTCATGGATTTGACAATATGCACAGAGACTTTCGAGGTATGCCTGCGTAAACTCTTGTATAGAACATGTTCATTTCCTATCATGAAAATTTTCTGACCCACATTGTTACTATTATTTTTGGTTCCAGCTCCTCTGTATTTACTCGAAACAAGAACCGTTGCCTCAGTTTGGTTATGTGTCCCGCCTGCATATCAGTCTACGTGTAACCGTTTTGAAATCGTTACCAACGTTTCTTGAGAGCTTCCCAAACTTGAAATCCCTCATCTTGGTAATGATCTGCTAAACCCTTTTGAGGGTTTTTTTTTTCCATCTCTATGACGTGATCTCTTTTCCTTGCGTATTAATTTAATCCCTTTTTCTTTTTCCCCACCCTCAGGTATGCGATGATGATTACGAGAAGATGAATGAAACAAGTTTTTCAACTGTGCCTGAGTGTTTGCCATTATCTCTCGAGTTTGTTGATTTCGAAATCCCAATTTCGGGACATGTGGGAGAGATGAAACTCGTGAGGTACTTCCTAGAGAATTCGGCAGTCCTCAAGAAACTCACTCTAACTTTGGAGGAATATTCAGTGAGAGAAAAGTCTACTCTCAAGGAACTCCTCAGAACCCCAAGAGCCTCTACCAAATGTGAAGTCGTCGTCATCTGATTGGTAAAGAGACAGTAGAAGCTTTTTGTGATTTTGTCTGAAGACTATGAATGATATGATACGGTTTGGTTTGGCTACGGTTATATTAACTTGTCAGGTGATAAAGATATTTTTTTATAGCCTTGTTCTTTTGATTTCATTCGTTTCTGAATCTTGTCATGATCTTATATCAAAATTCAAATTGTTAGTCAAATTGAGCAATTTAGTACTATCCGAAAATGTTTAGGATTGGACCGTTTATCTTCGGGCATTATCGGTTAGGGTCACAAAACTGAGTTTTGGTTTATCTCTCTTTTAGTCTTCTTCTTCGTTTATTGTCTCGCTCTTTTAGTCTTCTTATTCGTTGAGACATCCTAATTTAAAAGTTTGATAGCAAATAAAGCTTTATTATTAGTTGAATCGTTTTTTTCCGCTAACTAACGTTACAAATACAAACATAAGCTTTAAACATCAGCAAATTATTTAAAAATTCTCCAATTCGAAAGCAAGAAGAAAAATCGAAAACGAGCTTAGTTGGAAAATATGCGTATATACCATCAGCAAATTAAACTTACCTTGATCCGGAATGTTCTGTATTGTCCAAATTAAACTTTTGTTCGGGGTTTACCGGTTTGCGTCGAACAAAAACCGAGTTGGTCAAATTAAAACCCTTGTTCATACTGTCTTCTTACATGGCATATTGTGTAGCCTAAAATGACAATGGTAAAGATTGTAAATTCAGAGATTATGCATAAACAAAATATTACAAACTTTTTATTAGAAAACAGTGGATGTAACGCATGTTTCATAAGATTGTACAAAACTAAGTTGATGTTTCCATGTATTAATAATTAAAAAAAATGTAGTTAAATTTTTCAAACATAAGTAAAAATATTTTTGTACTACTTTACTTTGTAGTATCATTTTATACCATTTCTGTTTATATTATTATCTCTCGCACCAACTCAAAATTTTGTACCAGACTAATCGAAATATTGCACTACATCCGACGTCGTTTTTGCTAGAATCACGAACACAACATAACGTTTTCATCCAACTAAAACGGAGAAACCTTTTCATCAACCCCAACTGGATAGATAAACGACATGGCGTTTGCATTAGTTCAACATTTCTATATTATTTCTCTTAAAACCTTAAACACATTGGTCTCAGATCATGAGTAATGGAGAGATTGAAACGAGCACTTAAGTAGAAGAAAAAAAAAAAAAATATGATGTGACATAAAATTTTGTGAGAGTCGCCTCTTCTATCAGAGTTTATAGAAACGACTCTAGTATAACGTGTCAAAAGGTTATTTGCTTAGAAATTTTTTTTGGATGAGAAACAAAAATTAAAAAGAAATTAATGAAGTTCTTAACTTAAATTAAAAATAAATTTAATCATATAATATATTTAAGAACCCCATCTTCAGTAACCAGTATAGGTTTTAATGTCATGTTAGAACTATGATATTTATTAAATATGATCATTTATAGTTAATGATAAATATGTAATCATTATTTTTTTGGTTACATATATACATACTATGAAAAAATATTATATAAATAATTTTTTTTTTCTGTTTTGTTGATTTTGTTTTGCAGGAAATCATGGGTTTGCGGATTTATCAAAAACAATATTGTAGATTTATGGGTTTTACAAGTTTTAGCGGGTTTTATAAGTTTTAGCGGAGAATATAGTTTTACGAGAAAATGTTAGTTTGACAAAAAATATGATTTTGTATATTTAGTATAAACACATGATTTTAGAAATTTGGTCGTAAATCATGATTTTGTAGATTTTATAGGGTTTGCGGAATGCAAAAAACAAAATTTTGCAGATTTTATGGGTTTATAGTTTTTAGTGGGAAAATGTAGTCATACAGAAAAATGCAGGTTTGGAATTCGATTTTGCACGTTTGGTAAAAATACATGATTTTAGAAAATTGGTCATAAAACACGATTTTATGGAAAAACACAGTTTTGTGGATTTAGCGGGAAACATGATTTTGTGGATTTTACGAGGTTTACATGTTTTGGCAGGTTTTATAGGTTTTGATGGAAAAATGTAGTTTTATTGATTTAATGAAAATGCAGTTTTGCAGCTTTGACGAAAAACACAAATTTGCATGTTTGACAAAAACAGGTAATTTTAGAAATTTGGCCATAGAACACAGTTTTATGGTGTTGGGAGAAAATATAATTTTTTATTTTGTTAAAAAATGTGGGTTTGCAGTTTTGACAGGAAAATACGGTTTGATGGAAAATGCTATTTTTACAGTTGTTACGGGAATTCCTGGTTTTGGTACAACAACGTGATTTTACGATTTTGCCGGAATTTTAATTTCGATAGTCTCTGATTTTATGATTTTGACAAAAAAATCCTGAATTTTGTGGTTTAAATTAAATGGTGTTTTGGTTTTTTAATTTTTGAGATTCAAATGGTGCATCCAAACTCTAGTTTTTAGCATTTTAAATATCCAAATTGTGAAATATTATAGATTTTGCATCCAAATACAACATCTATATTCTGATTTAAAATTATTCAAAAGAACAATATTTGAACATTTGCATCCAGATGCAAAAACAATCAAAGCCAATATGTAAATATTGAAATCTTAATAACAAACAAATAAAATCTTTTTTGCATTAGAAATCATAATATTTTGAAATATTTATTAAAAAACTTAACAGAAAATCTGTTAATCAATATATATATATATATATATATATATATTTATATAAAATCAAGCCTAAATAATTTTTTTTTCTCGACAGCCTCTGGGGGAGTTGAGTTTACATAATACATATGGTAAAGGTGGTGACGAGCACTTCGAGCTAACTTGTCCGCCTTTGAATTCTGCGCGCGAAGGATTTTTGAGATTGTGAACATCTCAAACTCCTGCCTGGTTACTTCGTATTCCTCTAGGTGAAGAGCGAAAGCTTGCCATCCTTGTGGATCAGACACCATCGATAAAAATTCTAAGCAGTCTGTTAAGAACGTCACCTGCTGCCTCCCTGCATCCAACATATAGTGCATTGCCCATATTAGTGCCTCAAGTTCTGAGTGAAGAGGTGTCAGACTCCTCCTTATTTTTCGGGCTCCCACTAATACACCCATAGTACCTATCTCTTCACTATACCATCCTAGTCCTAAATTCGAATCATCCTCCTTCCATGATCCATCCGTGTAGCAGATGACCCCCTCCCAATCCTGAGTAATTTGGATATTCCGTGGATCGCTTATTTCTATATCCTCATTTTGTGCCCCATCCCATGCATGTGCCTCTGACACTGCGAGCTTAACGATATTCCTAGGGTCCCTCATCTTGTTTGTATAAGTCTTTTCATTACGCATTTTCCAAATATACCACATTACCCATGGGTATACCTTCATATTGTCTTGATTTGGAAGGTTCCAGAATAAGTATGCCATATTAGTGTATAATGCTCCGGTAGGATATCGATCAATAGGAGTCGGTATTGGCGATAAGGCCCATACCTGAACTGTTGGAGGTTATTCGAATAGGGTATGATTTATGGTTTCTATCTCTGCCCCGCATCTGCTACATTGTGTATCACAGTTTATCCCCCGATCCTTCAGCCGTGCTGTTACTGCTAAACACCCAGAGAGGACTTGCCACATAAAGTGTTTCAACTTTGGTGGACATTTAATGGTCCATACTTTTGCCTGTAATTGGCTTATATTTGGTCCAAAAAAACTTAAAGATTCCTTATCTGGGTATAGTTGCTCTGTCAAGTAACCCGATTTAACAGTGTATCTTTCCGATTTGGTGAAATTCCATCCCCATCGATCTTGACGATACTCCTTTGCTGTCGCCAAACCTGTGATAAGAGGGATGTCTTCCTTAGCTATCAGTTGTTCCAATAGTGGTCTATTCCACGTTGATGTTTGGGAGTCAATCAATTGATTAACTGTTAGATCAGGGTAATAATTAAACTCTTTACTAGTAGCTGATCTCGGGCGTGAGGATGGGATCCATGGATCATTCCATACTGAAATCGAATGCCCTGACCCAACTCTTTTGATAAGTCTTTTTTTAACTAGAGATCGAGCAGTTGTGATGCTCTTCCATCCATAGGATGGAGAATATGATCGGATCGGTTCCAATGGTGTTCCGTCCCTAAAGTATCTCCCTTTGAATACCCTTGCAAAAAGTGAGTCTGGAGCTTCGATAAGTCGCCAAAATTGTTTAGCCAGAAGGGCGTATTAAAGTCTTATATCACTTGAAAACCTAGTCCACCTTCTGCTTTTGGTCTACAAAGCTTTCTCCACGCCATCCAGTGTAAGCCTTTTGTGTTACCGTTGTTGCTCCACCAGAACTGAGCCACTGAACCTGTTAGCTTTGTAGTAATAGATTTTGGTAATCTGAAGCAGGACATCGTGTATGTTGGAACTGCTGTAAGTACTGATTTGATGAGTACTTGCTTTCCTCCCTTGGATAACATTTTTGATGTCCATCCATTAGCCCGTTTCTGTTACCTTTCTAAGATAAAATTGAAAACCTTCGTTTTAGCTCCTCCCAGGCTCTCCGGAATTCCCAGATATGAATCCATTCCCCCTAACTGTGTGATGCCTAACGTATTGTGTAATAGTTCCCTTGTCGCATGTGGGACTCTGTGCCCAAATTGTACTGAAGATTTCGTGAAATTAATTTGTTGACCTGATGCGGCCTCATATCGCTGTAAGAGTTGCAACAGTATAGTCGCCTCTGCCTGCGTGGCCTTACAGAAAAAGACTATCATCCGCAAAAAGCAAATGTGAGACCGATGGGCTAGTTCGGGCAATCCTTATGTCAGTGAGTAATTTATCCCTCTCTGCTCTTTTAACATTGGCAATTAAGGCTTCTATACAAAGAATGAAGAGATACGGTGACAAAGGATCTCCTTGTCAAAAGCCCCTTCTTGGATGGACATTTCCGGTTGGACTCCCATTGATCAGAATTCTGTACTGGACTGATTCGATGCAAGTCATAATCCAATTAATCTATTTTTCTGTGA